GCCATCACGTTCTGGTTGTGTATCATTACATCAACATTTCAGAGGTGATCAGTTCGCTGAGACTTGTCTTGATTTCAACCAACTTTGCATACATAACATGCAGAAAGAAAAGGGGAGCGAAGAGTGACCCCCATTACCATGAAAAAGATCTCAGCAATAAACCAGTTTAATGAAAAAATGGACCAAAGTTACTCAACCTCACACGGTTGTAGGTAGAATGAGGGGATTTAGTGACACTAAATGTAAGTAGGTGCAGATGTTTGAACCAGGGGCGCACATACTGCAAGTCAAACGCTTTAGTCATCACCTTGCAAATTCCAAGTAATCATTATGACTAAGGAGGAGGATATTGTGCAAAATATGGACCATGTACACACACAGTTAATCCGCCGAAGTAGACCACCTCCATGTCCTGGCCGTCTCTCTCATTGGACTGTTTTCCATTGTTTTACGTTGAGCATTTCAATATTACTGTATTTATTATACTATTTAAGTCGGAGACAATAGCATTCAGCAATTGTCTTAAACAAGTTCAACTATGTTTGCTCATGCGAGTGCAGTTGAAACATGAATGTTAAGGTAGTTCAACAAAAAATGGCACCCCCTAGCGAGGGTACAAAGGATTGCCTAGTCGCTGGGTGACGATATCCCTGAAAAGCAGGTTCATACATCGAAATACAGCAGAATACGCTGATTGGCAAAGTTCATGCCGTGACAGAGACAGGGAGCTAAGGCGGACTAGGAGAGCCTCACTTTGGTGTCTGGTTACCCTAATCAACGGTGTTCCAGACAAGACACTCAAACATTCCGTAACGGGCAGAAGTGGGAGTTCCGACTGGAAGCACGGGGTAACAAATGTCTATTGGATGTCGGCCCAGGCACATGCCTATTGGGCGATTCTTGGTTCGACTCAACACGTCGGTGATCTGGATGGGTACGATAAAACTTTTCACAAAATTCACCGAATGTTGTACTCTCGTTGCAGACCTACCAATGTGCATAGTTTCCTGCCAATTTGGACCATCTGATTGTTGGAGCTAAGCGATCCTTGTTTCATGACTTAATTTCCGTTGAAGTGCTTCATTAAGTGGAGGTTGCAACAGCCGTGGGATTTAGTCTGTTTTCTAGAGCCGCTCCTGAATTCTTTGCCTACATATTCACAAGCTCTAGTACGGTTGACATTTGTCTGTGAATCGAAATTTAAGCCACATAGTCTAGCCAACATGCTAAGAGGCTTCGATATCAGATTCGGTAGATTCACACTTCCCACAACGCTTTCAGATCAATGCACCCAACAGGCGCCAAGCTCATTCATGTTTGGGCGTTACATTTCCAGTGGTTTCACGTCTTCTGAGCAGATTTCAACTAATCCCACCGGTATACGCACTATTCCAGTCGGAGACCTCTGCGTGAGTGAAGCCAAAGCTGTTCGGGTTTTGCAATCCCCAATGTTTCAGAGGCTTTCACTCATATATGCTTGTAAGTATCATCGGGCTGAATGCTATCCGAAATTCTTGCCGAGTATCATCGCCGTTAACTTCTCCTGGCACCTGTGGATTTTCGGGCACACTGCTATACTTTCACTGGCGTGGTCTGGAAACTGAATCATCAATAATCTACTGAAATGATTGCTCGTCATGCTACGCTTGTCCTGAGTACCTGAAACTATACTATTTGTATAGTATATATATAGTATGTACATAGTATACTATACTATATATTATACGATATATCTACTATATATACCACTATATATAGTATATATATCCATATATGCTGTATAGCATAAAATATATAGTATAGTATATAATTGACCCCTATTGGCTTATATCTACTTAAGATGGAGTACAGCGCAATCCTGATCACGCACTACCAGTCAGCAGCTATAGTTTAATTTGATGTTGCCTTTAGGGCGCAGTAATGATTTACGAACCTGATGAATTCGTTTACGTAGTCCAGCCCAGATCATGCAGACCAGTTGCGAATCTCCAAAAGTCTGAATCCAGAATGTGCTAAGCAAACCGATGACGCAACTCCCAGTTGGACAATTGCTAGAAGCCGTTCAAGGATTAATGTGGATTACTTTGTTGATAGTATGTTTTCCACACTCTAGAAAGAAAGATTTTCAAATACTGCTGGGCTTTAAACTTTAGCAAATTGTTACCTAGAGACGGTTTATTGGCTTTCTGAATATTATAAATGTCGTCCGCATTAGTGCGCAATTTGTTAAAGATAGGAGGCCAGCGAATCACGGATCCATCGGTTCTTAGAGTGCACACAATGTGAGGTTGAATGCTAATCTAGGTGGGGTACAACAGAAAAGTTCAACTCAGAACTGAACCGGTGGGAGTAATGTTAATTGACAGTAATCAGCATATTCTATCTTGTTATTGGTTATGATGTGTTTAGTAGCATAGCTTCATCCTATTTATATCGCTGTGTTCCAACGCGTTACCAATCTCGGTCCGGCTGGCCTTTTGGCGTGCTCATTACCGTATGGGGTGGAACCGGTAGGGGGCAGCATAACGAAATTTAGCTCTTTCCGATGAGTGTCTACGTGCAACGGAATGTAGGTTGTGTAATTACCGACCTGTATCCCCCATGCGAGCAATCGCTTTTTAACCAGGTAATAAAATATTCTTTTGGTACTTAAATTAGATTGTTGTTTTCTAGTAGCCACTCGCCAACATCCCTGAAAACTCCTAGAGTCTTAAGTTCCAACTGGTAAAGGAGGTGAAACAATCACTTAATATTTTTGTCGCTCTCCGTTGTTATCCCTTTCGATTTAGATAGAAATTGTAGATGCTGGTGAAGGGCTTGACCGTCTCTACCTTGGTTTCTTGACTGGTTTTGATTATTAGAGCTATGAGATCGCTAAACCTATCCTAGTCTGGATATGTGCCTTTACGCACCAAAACCGCCTGAATATGAGTTGATGACATTTTATCTAACCAAACAGACATGAATTGTCGCACCACATAAGGCTCAGTACTAGGGTCTCTGTTATTCCTGTTTTCCAAGGACCATCTAGAGGAACTGACCACCTCAAATCGCTTACTGTTTGCGAATCACTCCATTAGATGGCCCTCAGGAGAGTAACTGATCACATTTTGCTGCAAGACCACCTCGACATGTCTTACGGGTGGTCAACTCAGAACATTTTTGAGATTAACGCTGTCATATCCAGTGTGTTATAAATACTTCACCCCAGAAGCTAGAATACCTAATAGGAAAGCACGTTTTGCAGTGCGCTTTTCATGAGAGTAATCTCCAGGTGTCTATACAAGCCGATCTTGCTTGCTCAAGGCAGGCAGAAAAAGCAGTAGGAAAATGTGGTAAAAACCTGGGTTTAATAAGGAGGACGTTTGGCCGGTTTGACTCGAACATCCTTAAATACTAACATGTATCCATCTGTAGAACACAACATGCAGGCCCGGCCTCCATGACAAAAACATGACTTCATAACTCTTGAGACTCCAAGACGAACGGCGACTGGAAAGATAAACAGCTCGCTTCGTCTTCTTTCATTAAGGCCTTAGGAGGTCTCCTCATGCGATGTCATTGTATACCAGGTGGTGTTGTATTTAGACCCAGTCAGAAGGCTATCACACGCCCGAAAATCACTCTACGGCAGTTTCTTCCTTTCGGGAACCGTCAGCAGTGCGGTCTATCCCACCCCGTGAAGCTAGAATGCGCCACTTGACCGTTATAAATGTGTGTTTAAGAGCATTGGGGTAAGGCAATATCCGTCTTGACTAAGTCGCTAGTTGTGATATATCCGCTCACTATGTACTAACTCGCACTTTAAAACTGTGTAGAGGACGGGGTATCCCCAAATAGAGCAAGGAACTTAGGCCATCAATTAACTTATATGATCAAAAACAGTTTGGACGTGTAATGGATGTTTGACTGAGCCCATATGTGATGGAATTTCACTTAGGTCATTCATAGCCCCCTTTGTGGTCTCATATTCGTCTGCCAGATTCTCAGGGAACGCGATAACGCATGCGAATGCTTATTGAAACTTAGGCGCAAAACGTCAGTGAGCGATCACCATTTGAATTTAGCTACATAGTACATCCAGTTGGGCTGCCTTCGGAACATTTTATCCCTTTGTATATATCCGTAGTGAATGGCACGTCCGAATTCGGTTATCTCCATTCCTATGTTAACCAACTTCAAAACGAGTTGATGACGACATGATTTTATTTGTTGTTGGAACTCTGCAGACTGTAACCAAAACATGGTAACTTCAGCCTGAGTTAGTCGATAGGTCTTACTTTTTCGATACATTTAATTTTCGAATCCTCTCTTTGCCTAACATACTAGTCAAGGAAGTACGCCGGTACGCAGTACCTACGCTTCGCTGCCGCGCAACCACCACCGGTCGCAAGTGCGAGGGTCGACCTGCACCTACGCAGGCTCGAACCTACGCCTTCATAGTACAAGACGAGCTCGTTACCCTTAGGCTACAGGCACCGTAAGCAAACATGAGCAATAAGACAACTTCTACCAGATACATTATTTGAATGTGTAATCTGTTGGAATGTGGGATTATACAGACAATGGATGTATGCTCGGAATAGTTTGGGAGATAAATGTAGGCATTTGCATATTGTCACTGGCGACCTTTTCCGTGCTTTATTTCTTGGTACTCACTTGAATCACAAGTCATCTGTGCACTTCTTCAGAAGCGTACTACAGTTCTCAATATCCCGCATTCTTCTAGTTTTAGAGATTATTAGGAATTGGACATTAAAGATATGCCATTGTGCCCTGCGCTGTGCAGACGTTAATTTGTTCCCGTACTCCACCAACTATAGTGCGGAACTACTGTGATTAACTGCTTGGAACAGTGAACACATTAGCGATCTCAGGTTGAAACTACAGATGAACTCTCCTGACTGGATATTCCATTTTCCAATTACCTAATCTTTACCTAACTTCACATATTGATCCTGCAGTTATGAGCTTGTGAACATGTTGTACTTTCGCTTCAGGTCCCTCCATCTTCGCGGAGATTGCCATCCTCAGATATCGGACCAATCCTGAAATGGTCATGCAGAAAACAATGTGAACTCTGCAAGATGTCCAAATCTGAAGTTATTGGGAAGCAACTTCAATAGTCTAGCAGCTGCTAGGGAGATTTTCTGGAAGCGTTTAGTTTGATTATATAACTTATGAGCTGAGCCAGATAAATCCGGCTCACGCCAATGAAGAGAAGAAGAGGAGTGACAATCGAATTGGAGACCACCTTGATAGTACGTACTTACTTCGATGATGTCGTTAAGTCTTCAGTTACAGCCAGACAATCATCGAAGGAAATGTAGGCTGAATTTGTGGCAGAAGGAAAACGGGAAATATCTCTCAATGCAAAAGGCTTTGGCTACTAACGAGAGTACGGGTGATGACAGAATCATTCAGCCTACAAACCCAACATATATACCCACGCCAAAAGACCCACTGAAGAATAAAAAATGTACTAAAATTAAAAAAAACAGTCCAATCAGAACTGCTGAACTCACACTCAATGGCATATGACGCCAACCGGTGGTCCCGGTCATCATGCACGCCGAAAACAACTATCGATGACGAAAGGGCTGACTGGCTTGAGTAATTAGCTCACCAGAGAAAAGACAATTGCCCAAATGATGAATAAAAGCGGTAGTGACCAGCGTGCTTTTAAACCACACCGATACATGACCAGATGGGGCGTGGAGGTGCGGGTGCAAACTCTTAAGGGACTACCTCACATGGAAGCAGGTCCTCGGGAGACAGTTCCACGGAAGACCGTAGTAGTTCACTTGTTTTTTCTTACCCTACTTCCATCTGCACTTAATCTGTTGTGCTCCTGGTACTTATTTACTTCATCTCTACCGTCCAACTATCTTACCGGTACTTCCCATTAACTTATTCTTCAGACCATAGCCTCGCTCTTAGTTGTGGTGCATTTCCTCTATATCTCTACACCCCGAATCCGATGACTATTGCACATTTTCATAATCACCCTGTCTTTGGCATCTTCTACGAGACTACGAGTCACTGAATAAGTCCTGACTTTGCAGTGAATAGGCACTTGTTTCTCTGTCTATTTATTCGTTTAATTCTCCCTTTTTAACATTACATTTGCCATGCATAGTCACACGCCCTAAATATCCAACTACAAGTGAAGGCTGAGAGGAATGCAGCTGAGCTCACTCTACATCTCAACCATTTGGCAGCCCAAAACACAACATGCTTAGTTCAACTACCGAACTAGACCAAGGAATGTCGAGACACCACGCTATGCTTTAACCCCTTACAATGTGAATACTGCCCATATTCTTCTTCTAAAACAAGTTGAGTTTGATGATCCACTGGAGTTACCTTACTACAGTATTTTCCTTATTTTCGTAACTCCCTAATTTGCCACTCACAAATAGCTCAAACTGTATTACTCCAGTCTATCAAGTAAGATTGTGTATTACTCATCTGATTTTGTTTGGTGAATCTAACTGTTTCATCCTTTTCATACTCCCTCCCCCATGCAACCGCCACGATCAAGGCACCACCAAGCTGCACCGAAAAGAACCAGGTGGGAATGCCCGCGAACTGGTAGCATACGGCGACCAAAGTCACAAATCAAAATATTCGCAAAAACATTCCTATCCTAACCCTGTAGAAACCCAAACCATAGACAGCCTCGCATGCCTGAACAGGTTGCAATGTAAATATGATCCATCCCATTGTGGGCTTGGTTTCTCGGTACCACGAGAAAATACCTTATTATTATTATTATTATTATTAAATGTGATGTAGCGTCGCTCACTATACACTGACTTGCACCTCTCTACTGTGCATAGGACAGGATAGCCCCCTCACCAGGTGACGAACTTACCACACATAGGTTGCCAGTTAATTTACGAATTATAATAACTGGCAAGTATTATATGAACAGGGCGACCCCGGGCATAATTCCTTCACGTTAACCACATTCGAATTATAAACTTGTTTGCACTTTTGTGGAATGACAGATTAGTTTCCGTAACGGATACATCTGGGCCATTTCTTATCCGGATATGTGAGTACAACTTAAGTGTTACAACCGTATGAACTTTGTTCTGCGTGTGAGAGGGTTATTTCGATGCACAATTGCATGCGTACAATCTGTTGGTTTCCCTGGCCCACCGCTCACTGTTTGTGACATTGGAGACCTGACATCTGCTCTGTTTACCAAATGGACCTGAGTTCGGGTACCTAATATCAGACTTGATGATCTTGCGTGTTCCGAACAGAATACTGCAATCTGTTACGCTATGATAATACTTGTAATATACTACTGGACACGACCTCTAGCCTGTTCCTCACCAGCAATGATTAGGCTTTTGACAATACGTTCTTGATGTCGACAATCCCCGTCCACCTGCAACAACACTGGGATCCGGCGGTCTTTAGATATCGGTTGAACTGCAAGCCACATCATCAACTGGCTTACTAGTATCCTTGAATTAGTTCAAGAAGGTGACTAAAATCAAGTTGGACAATTCGCCGCATTTTAGGCAGTAATATCTCTTCACCAACAACAAGCACCCCTGCTGAGTCGGACGCATGAAGATTTCACGTCACGTAAGATGCCTATGATCATGAACGTTGTCAGTAGATACTGATAGTGTGATAATCTGGACGTTGGCTAACACGAGTTAAATGCTTCAAATTCCTTCGCGATTAGTATTGAATTAACTTTCAAGGAGAGATAAACAGTTTAGAACGTGAATCTGAAACCAGACAGAAATGCAATACATAAAGTTTACTTAGCAGTTTGTTCGATTCAACCTCACACTCAAGATGTAAGGCATAACGTTAATAGGGAGCAAGGGAGAAGTGCCACCCATTTATACTCTTCGCTATCAGTAGGGCACTGTTGGTGGCTTTCGTTGTCTCTGGGACGGTGCACATGAGGAACCAGCGTACGAGTTCCGTGGGATCACATATTCAAATATAATCCTTCAGCTCCTTCAATTTCGGTGGCATTGTTTAATCAGGGCAATATTTAACTGCTCGAAAGCATGACATTCTCTTTTGTCTTTTACTGTTACTGGTGGCGTGTTACAGGGCACAGACTAATTCGCATTGACTTTAATGCTTAAGGAGGTATACAATCATTCACTCACTTGGTTAAACCTGGCTGCTTTGACATAATGGCCTAAATGAGAGCTATTTGTACTATCGCCTTGTTAAGGTGAGTGCATGGTCCATTGATTTCGTAAGACAATGAATTACCTCAAACTCCTAAGTTTTACTGACAAAAACCAATACCCGTAGATCTTTACAAGAATCTATACAGAGCGGGAATCCGTTACCTCTTGAAAAGTATATGGTCGTAAATGTGGTAGCATGTCGCACTCCAGAACCGCCCTCTATCAATAAGCATTGCATTTTCATAAAATATGCTACTAGTTAGTCCATCAGCTTCATGGTACCACATCAGCTGATGCAAATCAATTAGGTAAGATGGGAGAAGCGCAAGATTACTACTGCTACATTTAATGACATACAGTATAGGATTGGAAGTCAGGAACAGCTGTGAGTTATGCAATTTCGGTAGGGTTGATGCGCAAATTCTCCAATCTCCTCTATATATCAGGATCAGCACATGGGCACTTGGTATGGAGGCAGAAGCCTATGTAAGTTACGTAAATTGTACGCAAACAAAATTTATAAATAAAATATGACGCTACCTTTTCGTTGGTCGAAAAGCAGAGTTGTGTCTTGTTACACCGTAAGAGCTCTCCCGATGTACTTGGTCGTTTTCATTCCAAGTAGAATGGACGAAATTTTTACCTAGATCTCTTTTCGCAATTTCTTAAGTTTGTTCTTTAGTACTCATTAGTTTATCAAGTTGTTTTAGGCAACTTCAACTGAAACGAATGTAGTTTCGTTCGCCATCGATGAATTATACGAGGAGCGAACTAACAACATAGCTTCCAGCGTTGTGTCGGCCAGTGATTAAAACTTCAAGCCGCAGAGGCGCGGAACAATGCCAGGTGTCACCTGCCTTAAACTCTCCACTATAAGACCGATTTTTTCTTGACACACCAAGTAAAGTAGAACTGCGACCCGATCCCAGGATCTGAAAGTTGTTAGTTGTAGCCTTTGCTGCACACCATATAGTTCCACGACCAGCGATTATTGTAGCTGTTTATTACTGCACGTGTGTTTAATTGAAACCTTAATTGTGTAAATGATATTTACATTTTCCAGAGACGTACTGTACAATTGTCCCACTAGGTTACCACGTCAAGCCAGCAGAACAGTTGTGTCTACAAATCTGCTCATCAGCTCAACGATTGTTGCATACCGCAACCGCACCTTACTGTGTTCATAGTACTTCGTCTGAACGGATTTTGTACTACATGTCAACACAAGTTAATAGATCAATAAATCTATGTCGTACGTTTGTTTGAAGGAGACACATTCCTTTAATCTCACCATGACCCGTCACCGCCGCCCTTTGCACTGTAGGTGGATCTACCACACGCTTGCTTGCATTTGTCAAGTTTACTCGTCTGTGTCCGTAGTTGTATGGATAGAAATGGTGAAACCCATCAGGATTCTCATGAATTTAAATATCAAATGCTGTACGCGCCATGCAAAAAGTGATGAAGGGTGATACGCCATTCAGATTTTATCGTTCCACTTTCGACCACTGACATTCGGTCAGTCGAGTTTATTTGCGTGTGTCAGCTGTTTGCTCTGATCATATCAACTTATTATCCATCTGGGAAGTACAAAATAGGCATTCATCAAGTTTCACACATGCATAGTATAAGTTTGTACACATCTGCATTTTCCATGAAAATGTTGTAGGTGTAGTGGGAGTGGAAGTAGATCTGACACGAGAATAACACCTGAATACTTATGCATCGGAGGAGGTAGCAAGATGGGTTAGAGTTGACATCGGCCCCTTAGTAACTAAGGAAGGTTTTACCCTGAATTAGTTTGAAAAGACTGCGAAACTTTTATTCAGTCAATACAATTTCTTTAAAGAGGAAGACCCGGTATTATTCGACTTGCTAATCAGTCAGTCTTTGCTTATTGCTCCTGTGTTTATCCAAACCGAATGGTTAGCGATGTTTAAAAACAAACTGTAACGCACGTCCCACTGAATCCGAAGATTAATGAAATCGAAGCAAAGGAAAATTTATCACCATATGAGTAAGACTACAGGCCATTGGACCACTACAAAATGAATTCTAATTTTGTACTCACATGAGCTTGTAAGTCTGACTTGTGAAGTCCTAGATGGCTAGAGCTACCGTTACATGTTATATTGTATTGTTGCACCTGGAGA